CGATGCTGTGTATTGTGGCAGTGGGGATCCAAGCTGAACAGTGCAAATTTCTTGTTTCCTGTTACACAGAGAAAGCAATTACTGCATAGTCTTTCTATATATACAAAAACTACATTAGAGTAGCATGTTTGATGTTGCAAAATCAAACTCTCAAAAGTTAAGAATTGCTTGATTTAAGGTTGCCTGTATAACCTCAGATGCCTCCAGTACACATTATTATCACACCCACTTTGATTATGCGCGGTCATAGGCTGCTTTGCCCTCCACAGGATATCCTTCTTACTCAAGTGCCTAGTTAATTTGCAAAGTACAATCCTGTTGTTTGAAGGTGTTATCAGAATAGTCTTGGGGTTAGCTCAAGGGAGACCAACAAGTTTTAAAAAATGAAAATTTTGGGGCTTTTATCTTAAATGTATCAGTAAAGTCTTGTCTCCCCTGTTGGGCCTATTGCCAAGATCACAGACTGGAATTTCTACTGACCCTTATTTGAGGGGTGGGATATCTTACTCCTGACCACAGATGCCTCGCTCACAACTATGGAGTAGGTATTGTAATTAAATAGCTGTTAAAAAAAATGAATGACACTTTATAGTAGAAAATTTAAAATTACTTTGTCTCTCACCAGAGTTCATGTCTTTGTTTTCTCTCTTTTTTTAATAATCCCATCTGTTCCTCCTGTATCCATAGTCTCCCTGCAATAGAAAGGAGAAGTAATTTTTATGGACAAACACAAACAGAAGTTAAAATAATATAGGTCTTTTCTATAGTATTGCATCACCTGTGAAGGGAAGCATGGCACAACAGTGTATTACTCCCCTACCCCGTCTTTCTCTTTGGAGGCTACATCTTAAGAAATTGTATTTGATAGCTGTGACTCAGCTCAGACATGGAAATCACAAGGTCCCTACTGTTCTGTAGCTTGTATGTTGGGGCTCTCAGAGCCTGCTGGGGCTGTCCCAATGTTCACTACGTTCCCGTTTTCTTTCTGGCCCTTGCAGCTAGTCTGTGGATCTTCTCTCTGGCATGCTGGCTTCTCTGAGGGAGTCTGTGGTCACTCCACATCCCATTTTTATGCATGTGTACAGCCTGGCATGCAGATTTGTCAATGACTCTTCAGTTACCAAATGAGATTTGCTTCTGTCTGGGGACACCCATCTCAAGAGTCCACATGCGTCATGTGGACACTTGAGATGAGTGTCACCAGGTTCCTGTTCATGCCACCCTTCTCCTCAGATGTGCTTCCACACTTACTCAGGCTTGTTCTTTGACCGTTTCTGGTTGCAGTGTGCAGGTGAACCGAGTGCTGACCTACCATGACCTGGACAAAGATCTTATGAAATATGCTGCCTTTCAGACTCTGGTAAGTGGGTGTTGCTATGGAGTGACTGATGTGACTTCCTCTCCTTCCAGGCTCCCATCATCCTCCACAGTAATGCTCAGCTGCATAAAATACACAGCCCTATCATCCAAACAACTTCCAGTCTGCTTTCAAGTCTGTTCCTCTCTGCAGTGTGGCTTTCATGCTTGTTTGTGTCTGTAAATAGTGTGGGTACAGTATCTGCTGCTCAGATGAGGCTCCTGCTGTTGTCGTGGACAAAGTATATGTCCCTTATGAGGCAAATGTTGTGTCTGTCTCTAGCAAGATCTATCTGGTGAAATGATGGTGTCCACTTTCTCACTGTCTGTAAGACTGTGACTGTGTGTGTTCATAGGATGGAGAGGTTGACCTGAAGCTTCTCACCAAAGTTTTGGCTCCAGAGCATGAACTACGAGAGGTGAGTCTTTCTTTCATGGGAACACCAACAAGGCAAAAGCTTCTTATGTGTCTCAGACTACATGTGGAAAGTAAGCCTTTGTTGGTGGGGTGGAGGAGAGAGATGAGGAGGAGCCTGTGAAGAGGACCTTGTCCAAGAGAATGAAGGTCTGATTTCTGCAGCAGATTATTTCTAAAGATATATAGGGCTTTCTCTGTATGAGATTATGGCATCACTATGATTGGTCTCCTTCAGTATGAAAGAGCTAGTAAGGAAAACGTGAAGGGCCTAGCACTGTCACAGATCCCTGCAGAAACAGTGCTCTGTGTATTGTCTTTTGGTAGCCACCATGAGCTCTAGGTAGTTCTGCAGGGCGGTACAGAGGGACAAAGGTAGAAAGCATGTGGGGTTTGGGCAGTGATGTGTTGAAGCAGGACAGAACAACCTCAGTACAACTAGAGGGGGCAAGAGGTCAGGACTTCCAACAAAGGACTTCTGCAGCTCAAGAATTGCAGATGCTTCAGCAGAAGTGCAGAAGGGTGGAAGATTTTTGTGGCTCCTCTTTACACCCTGCCTGGGAGTATCTAAGATTAACAAGTATCAAAAAATCTGTGCTTTATGGAATTTTGGTACATGAATAATTCTGTCAAAATCTTTAAATTGTAGCATGGCTTCACATTTTATTCTGGCTAGGATTCCTGTTCTAGCCAACGGAATCTGGGACTTCCCTGGCAGGGGCAGCTGCCATTTAGTTTGTCTCTTTGCTGTTCATCTTGAATATTTGGCATCATTCAGAGACCTTTGGGTGTCACCAGTAACATTTCAGCATGTTTGTCTTTTTACTTTTGGTAGGATGATGTCAGCTGGGATTGGGACCATCTCTTCACAGAGGTGTCCTCAGAACTAGTGACTGAGTGGGACCTGGGACAGTCTGAGAGAGAGGACCACCTCAGTCTGTCCTAGAGCACTGGCTCACCAGACATCTCATACATGCATCCATTGTAAATATTTTAGCACTTTTAATTTTCTATTCACTTGTTTGTATTTGAGAATTTATTTCAGACATGAAAATAAATAGGACCTTGCTTCATAGGAAAACCGGCTCGGGAGAAGTGTTGGGTATTTTGTAATAAAGATCTTTGTTCTCAAAAGAGATTAAGAATTCTAAACACAATAAAATATTTACTTATGAACAGTCACTTCCACCTCACTAGCATCTTTAGAGATAACTGCAACAGTCGATCTTTCCTCTACCAAAATGCAGCCTCTCTGGGGTGGACGATCTTACAATGGAGTGTGGTTTTCACTGGTGGCTTAAGGTGGTAGGATTTGTTTGCCTAGGACATCAAGATTACCATTTTCCTTACAACAGATGCCACAAGTTGTCAGGATACCCATTTTACAGTTCATCCAGCAGCCTCCAGCCATCCCCTGCTAGTTAAACCTCTGTCCTGGAACATTACCTCTGTATTGACTCAGAGGAAGAGGCATCACCTATTAAACTGCCAACACGGCTTCTTACAGCACCTCTTTTTTCCCTTGAGGTGTCCCAGCTAAGTTCTGACCAGGCCTAAGCCTGCTTAGCTTTTGCAATCAGATGAGATCACAGCCTGAACAGAGATAGCTTCAGGCAATAGGTAGTTTGCAAAGAAAATACTGTTTATTCCATGCATGTGAAAGAATGGAGCCTGCTGCTCTGAAACAAGGTAACTCCCTGGTGGGTGTCTCCTTGGAACCAAGTAACCCACTCTTATTGTCATCTAAAGAAAAATCCATTTTGCTGTTGATGCCCTGTCCCCATAGAACTGTGGTCATTATTTGCAGGAAACAGTAACATTACTTCTAAGCCAATGCCCTTCAAAGCCTTGTCCTGCTGGAGAATCTTGCTATATACTTCTGGGGGGCAGTGCAGGTGCTGGGAGCAAAGCTTGCTGGGCTGCTTTTCTTAGCTGGTTTGGTCAGTCTAATAGAGCACTGCATTCCCACTCTTCTACTGACAGCAGGACAGGTCAAATAACTCACTGTGGATTCTGTACTCTGCAAAATTTCAGATCAGAGTTGATAGGCCAAACAATTCTACCAACCAGAGAGAAGCAATTGGGTCCCAGGCTGGGATCACCAAAATAAGGGGAGGCTCATCTGTCTCAAGGAGACACTATGTTTTTTACAACCAAGAAATCTCCCCTATAACTAGAAAACTAGGTGAGACAGAAGCTTGGGAGGCCCGTGTGTGGAGGATAATCCCAAAGTCTTTCTCTGAGTATAGAAGCCTGTTTTGGTATGAACAGAAACTTCCCAGCTGAGCTAGCATCTATTTTTTCCGACACCTGTAGTTCCTGGCCAAAGAGAACTTGGAATGCTTCCTACATTCCAGGAAAAAAAAATTAAATTCAGCAAAGTAAAGTAGTGTAGTAAATCAGACAAACCCAACAAGTCAGTCTGAGAGGAAGAAAATGGTAAAGGGAGGAGGGGATGGGACATGGATTTGCTCAGTTCATCCCTCAAAGATCACAGAGGAAGCAGAGGCACTCTCCTCTCAATTGCAAACTGTAGGACCATGCACTTTTGGGTCACCTCATAAAACCATGCAGTCACCCAGTGCAAATCAACCCATTTTTCAATGACCATAAAAGCTGAAAATGCCCAGGCCTGAGGCACAAGAGTGGGTGAACTATTACAATGTTTCTGGTTGCCCAGCCTCTGAGGCACGGTGTGTGATACGTGGCATATTATGTGTTGCATTTTCTTTAGGGCTCAGGGAGGTGGCATGGCTGGCTGTGTGGAGCATCAGGAGTGGATAACTAAGCAGTAGTTAGGACTGTAGCTACTGAGTGCTCTGTTCCGGAGTCCTGCCAAAGCTATTGCTCCTCTGGCAGCTGTGAGCTGCACCAACAATCCTGGGCTGTCTCCAGGAAAGCTCGCAGAGCCATCTTCTGCCTCCAAGAGCTGCTCTGATCATCCTGGGTGGGCAGAGCACTCCTGTCTGGCTGCTCTCCCAGCAGGGAGGAATGAGAAGAGGAGCTGGGCTGTGCAGTGGTGCTCAGCCCCTCAGAGACCACACACGCCCTTCAGGAGTCAAGAGGAAGATGAAAGCAGCCCCTGAAACAAGAGCAGGAGGGACATCAGACCCCAGAGTTCCTCCTGGATACGATGAGAGGTAGGAATGGGCAAGGACTTGGGGAGGGCCATTGGAGGCAGGGTGTAGGGAGGAGGAGGCCAGGAGCAAGAGTGGGGTTTGTGGAAGAGGCAGGGTAGGGGCAAGGGTAGCAAGGAGGTTGCATGATTTGGGAACAGAGTATGCATAAAATTTGGAGGGGAGTGAGGCCAGAGCCAGTGCTGGTGGAGAGCCAAGAGAGAATAGAGTACAAGAAAAGCATAGTGGGAGTTGAATGAAGCTTTTGCTGATGAGCTGTGGTCACATTATGCTGGAGGAGCTGCTCTAAAGCTGCATAAAATCTCCTGTAAGAGTGTGCTTGGGGCTGGGTGATGTTGGCTGCCCCTCTCTGGCTTGGGACCCTGGGCAGGGATGCTCTGGGGTGGGAGGCAAGTGTGTGTGGGCCAGGCCTGTGCCCACTCTGGGACCCTGGGAGCCCAGCAAATACCCAGGCAGAGTTTGAGAGTAGGGCTGGAAAAAAATCACAGCCTCACCTATTTTAAGGCAGGAAGAGGTGGCTTTGATCATTTAGTCTGACCTGCTATAGACTCTGCCATGGCAGAGTCCAGTGAGATGTGGCTGAGCTTTGCCTGTCTTTTAGAAAGGCAGACAGTATATTTGAAAGTCTTCCATGGTTAGTTTTTCTAATAGATAATTGCCCTTATGGTTCAAAGTCTGCTTTATTTCTATACTCATTTTTTAAGTTTCATCTTCTGTTCCCTGAGCCTGCTTATGCTTTCACCTTACCAGTTAAGCCACGCTGTCAGGTATTTTCTCCTTGCTTCAGTGTTTATGTGCACTGTGATCAAGTTGTCTCTTTAATTTCCTTCAATAAACTTAATAGACTGAGACTTGTTTCCATGTCTTTTCAATTCCTTCCCCAGCTGGAGGAGGTAAGGTGAGTGTCTGGCTCCTGGCTTTTCTCCAGCAAGCTGTTCCCACCCACCTTCCTTCCACAGTCATGTTTTGGTTGCAGTGCTGGGAAGGTGACTGAGACTTGTTGCTTCTCCTCTCTCAAGTCCTGGTGCTGTCAGAGGAGAACCCGCTCCTGTTACTGTCCTTGCTAAAAAGAAACGATGAGGTGCTTTTGCATGCCCAGGCTAGTTCTTGGCTTGTGGTGATGCACCAGTGTGTATTGGCTGTGACAAAGCTGCCTCAGGAACCTGCATTTCTGGAAAGCCCTGTGGAAAGAGCGTGCAAAGGAAGAAATGGCAGGTGTGAATTTTTTGTAGCCTGCAAAGGTGTAGCTCTGGTTGATCCTCAGGTGAGGTGAGAAGTGACAGCAGTTTTCAGAACAGTACCCCCAGTTCCTAGGAACTCAGATCAGCCCTCCAGGCTTTCCCTAGCCGAGGAATAGAGCAGTAATTGCTTGTAGGTCTCCACAGACCTGTATCACAGAGGGGTAAAGTGAGGTGCAGCGGTGTGCCTGGGGCCACACAACAAATCTCTGGCAGAATCAGGGTTTGAAACGAGGAACCTCAAGTTCCTGATTCAAACACAGCTTTCAAATACCTGGTGAGTGTTTCCCATCTTCAGTTAGAAGATGGGAATTCAATGTAGAGAGTCTTGCGTCCTGCTTACTCTGTGTTCTGCTCTGTTCATACATTGCTGAGGAAGAGCTGCAAACCCGTCGAAATGTGTGTTGTCAACAGCGTGTTTAGCTCAGTGAGCTGATCTGGGGTGTCTGCCCAGGGACTTGCTGGGATTCTGAATGGGTGTAAATATCTACCCACAGAGAGCCTCTTGCAGGCTCAGAGCTCAATAGACTACCCGGGCAAATGGCGAGCCTCATCACAGATGAAGTAAAAGAAGTGCACAAAGGAAAAATTAATTCTAGGTCCTATCAGTTTTAGGAATCTCTGGTTTTGCTTATAATAATAGATACAATATTTATAGACTTTCTTGGTGGAGATGCCTTACTAGAGTGCAGTTTGTCAGTGGTGGTGGGGATATTGGTGCTCAGACAGCATACGCAGCACTGGAAAAAAATGTAGAAAATAAAAGCTGAAAAAAAGCCAGACCCAGCAACTTTCCATTAAAGAGCCTGTTAAAAGGACTCTGGCTGGCTGTTTTATTAAGTGTGACAAAGTGATGGGCGGTGGGGGGGAGCTCCTATGTTAATAAGTTGGAAAGGCACCGCCGTTCCTCTCGCCGGAGCGTCTCAGGGAAAGTGGAATTAATTCATGGCATATGCTCCCAGCATCTGCCGCCATGACCCAGAGTGGCGGGAGCGCAGCGCCAGGCAACGTGAGCCAGAGCCCGTATTCTCCGCTCCTCTCTCTGGCCTTGCTCGCTGCCTGCCCATGGCTGAG